CCATCAACAGGTTTAGACTTGAATTTAGACGAAGGTTTCTCACCACCAGAGGAGTGAAGTTCTGGAGCAGCCGCCCAAGGGGAGCAGTGGGGGCAAAACCCCGAACTGGCTTCCAGGCTGAGTGTGATCAGTTTATGGAGGGGATGGTGTGATGGGGCTGCCGACGATGGCATGGAGCCGACCTGCGACCGCTAGCAGCAAATACCCCCAGCGGCCGGTGATGGGACACTGCAGAGAATTTTTTCCCAGCTGTCTGGCTGGTGGGTCTCACCCACATGCCCAGGGTCTGACTGATCCCCGGATTTAGGGCGGGGAAGGAATTTTCCCCGGGTCAGGTTGGCAGAGACCCGGGGGTGGGGGGGGTTCGCCTCCCTCTGCAGCCTGGGGCCCGGGTCACTCGCTGGTTAGAACTAGTGTGAATGGTGGAGTCTCTGTCACGGGAAGTCTTGATTTGAGGACACCAGAGGCTAGGGGCCTATTGCGGGGGGGGGGGGGGCGGTTCTGGGGGCTGCAGTGGGCAGGTCAGACTGGAGGATCAGGATGGGCCCTTCTGGCCTTGAAGCTTTTGGGGCTAAAGGATCCCGTGGGGGGAAGGAATGGGGTGCTGACCCACGGAGAGGGATAGAGTGGGGCACTGACCCCGGGGGAGGGGTGGGGAGATATGGAAGGTGGGGAGGATGCTGACCCTGGGGTGGGGGCAGCCGCAGCACTGGAAACAGGGTGGGGTGGGGGGGCGGGGGGGCGGGCTCCGAGGGGGGGGGGGGGGGGGGGGGGGGGGGGAGAACCTGGGCTCAGGGCAGCCGTGGAGTCTCTGAGTGGCCCAAAGGCCCGCCCCCCAGGGGCGCTCCCCCGCTCCCCTTCCCTCCCCGAGGGGCCCCGCCCCCACAGGCGCTCCCCCCGCCCCCCGAGGGGCTGCCCCCCACTCACTCTCGGAGGGAGTCCAGGATCTCGGCCCGCCGGCGCTTGGCCTGGCTGGTGACGATGGTGCGGTAGGTCTGCCGGTCGATGGCCCAGAGCCGGACCTGGGTGAGCGCTGGGGGGGGGAAGGGTTAGTCTGGGGGGGGGCGGGGAGAGGTCCCAGCTCTGCTCCATCAGCCAGGCTCACACGGGACCCAGCATTGCCCGGTCCTGCCACCACAGGGGGGCAGCCGCGTCCAGTGGGGCAGCACCAGAGCTGTGCTGGTGAGAGGTGGGGGGCGGCGGGGGGCAGTTGCTCTGCTTGTTTGCAGCCCTCTGGGGCTGGAGCAGTGCCCGGGGTCCAGGGCAGAGCAGGATCTGGAGCCTGGGCAAGGGCAGGGGGTGTGGTGGGACCGGGGTGGGGTCTGGGGTGGGGCCAGGGGGTGGAGGTGGGGCTGGGGCAGGGGTGGAGTCTGAAGCCAGGGCAGGGGCAGCGGGTGAAGCTGGGGTTGGGGTGGGGCCTGGGTCTGAAGCCAGGGCAGCAGCAGGGGTGGGGCCCGGGGTGAGGGTGGGAGCGGGGGCAGGGTGGGGAGCCGGGGCCTGCGGCCAGCCCTCACCTGTGACGGTGGCCGTGCGTTTGCAGTGGTACAGGATCGCCAGCTCCCCGAACACATCCCCCGGGAGCAGCGTGCGGAGGGGGCAGCCGCGCTGGGTCACACTCAGCTCACCCTCTGCAAAGGAAAGCACCTGAAACGGGTCAGACGCACCCGCCCCTTCCCTCCGCCCCCGCCCACGTCAATTGGCGTAACTCACCCAGGGCAGGACTGTCGGGGGGAGGGGGGGTGCAGGGCGGTGAGCTCGGAAATGGAGCGCACGTTCCTGCACCGGGGGGCCGGGCACTCGCACTCCTTCGCACGCACATGCGGGGCGGCGCTGGGCTGCCTCACA